TGAACTGCAAAGTTCTGGATGATCTGCCGCTTATGGAGGGAAGATTTGGGGAGACCGACAAAGAGGGAGTTTCTGTAGTCAAGCCTTGAGGTGATGAATACGCGTATGAGGGTTTCAGTGGCCTCAGGAGTGAGGCCGTGGCAGAGTCAGGCAATGTTGTGCAGGTGGGCGAAGGCAGAGTGGGTCATGGCATGGATATGGGGGAGAAAGGACAGTTGAAGGTTGAACAAGATGGCCAGGTTCCTGACTGGCTTGGTGAGGTGGAGTATGCAACAGAGGATGCTGATGCTGCCAGTGCCTGAGGTGTGGAGGCGCTGGCGCGAGCCAATCAGGAGGGACTCGGTCTTGCTGAAATTCAGCTGTAGAAAGTTAGCTCTCATCCAGGATTTGATGTCTGAAAAACCCGTGTCTCTGATGTGATTTTAGAAATAAAGGTTGCATCATTCATTTGAAGTCAAACATTTTGAACATTATAGTTCTAATTCCTAATGTATTACAAGCTAGAATAAAGGGAAAAGTTCCATAAAGTCACAGCGCCTTGGGACATCCTCCTGATGTGAAAGGCGCTATATAATAACAGCTTGTAATCATATAGTGCCGTTCATGCAGGGTAGCTTCTCGGGGTGCTTAACAGTGGTTAAGCCTGACGCCGAGTTGGGAGGAGAGGGGAGGTGACCATAATCAGAATAGAAAAGGAAGTGCATCAGGCATGATCTGAAAATGAGGAAGAATGGGACAAGGCTGAGGGATTGACGAAGAGAGTTCCAAATGTTTGGGGTGTAGTGGCTGAAAGCATGGCCACTGATGGTTGGAGCGGAGGGTTCAAGGGACAAGAAGGAGGCCAGGTTACAAGGTGCTAAGTGGGATGACTCCCTACCCCTCATGACTGGTCTGCCTTTCCTGCCAATGAGCCAGGCGGGATGTGCTGTCGTCAGCATTGCCATGCAATACTGTGGACCCGCCTGGCTCATGCTATTTGCTTCAACCACAGTTCTAGCAGTGAGTTCCACATTCTCATCACCTTCAGTGTGAAGAAGTTTCTCCTTAACTCCCGATTGGATCGACTACTAACTATTATCTTTCTGTCAGCAGCTTGGGCACACATCATGTGGGAGTGGAAAAAGAGGAGGAGAAGGGGACAGGAGCAGGTGACAATAGTATTCGGCTCAGATTTAATGAAAGGCTCTATACATATGCAATGTTGTTGTTGTTGCTGTTTGTATGGACACATTCTGACACTCAATGTGAAGTAAATAGCATATAATGGCCACCTGGCTAAAATAACAAATGGTGATTGATGCCTAGGGCTGGATTTGGTCCCATTTGAAATAAGGGAAATTCCTATTTGAATCGCAGTCACCACAATTCATTTAGCTTGGATTATGAATACAAAACTACAGGATATGAGCATGCAATTCAAGTAGCCTGAAGCAGGGACAGAGATTGAAGATATGATCCTACAAAATAGGGAATATTTGACTCACAGCAAAAGCTATGCACGCTGCCTTAGTTAACTCTTTAATAAGCATCTTTTCAGGACAGTGACAAGGCGATGGGGATTAAATTGGATGGATGAGATGAACAGTCTTTAGAATACAATGGTTCCTAAAAGCAGGCTTCAAAATAGATGTCAAATCTTTTCACCAAATCTGAGGTTGTGCATTGCTTTTGAAAACCTCCTTACATTCATTATTTCTTTTAATCAATCCAGTCCTAGAAAATGACAGCACTGAACAACATCATATTTACATCCAAGATAGTGTCTCAGAGTGTTGGCAGTGGTGGGGTTGGACGCAAAGGAGAATGGGCAGGTGACCATTGGTGTGATTGAAAAGGTGGGTCTTAAAGCAGGATTTAAAGAAAGGAGCAATAGAATTACGCAGAATCTTACAGCACAGAAACAGGTCATTTGGCCCAACTAGTCTAGTTTATACAATAGCGTTCTCTCGTCCTAATCCCCTCTCCATACCCATCTATTTGCTTCTCCCTCATATACACTACTATAATTAAATAAAGAATGCACAACTAATAATTACTAAATTGGAAAACTCCTCAACAGTTTTTTTAAGCAGAGAAAATGTGTTTTATATGAAGTAAGATGTGGAAAATGTGGTAAAAACTCAGTGCCTCCACAGTGCTACTTCCACTTTCCTAAAGTCTACAAGGAAAGGCAATACTGTTTTTTTAACCATTATATGACATTAACAACAATAACTTGCATTTATATAGCGCTCCTCACACAGGGTAAGGTCCCAGAGTGCTTGACAGTGGCAGAGCACGATGCTGAGCTGGTGGGAGGGAGAGCTGAGTGTAGGCACGGTCGAATAGGAAGGTAGGTGGTGACAGGTCATGCAGGGATTTGAAGACTAGTGTGAAGATCTTGAAATCGACCGTTTCAGTGTTAGGGAGCGAGTGGAGCCTGGCTAGAACTGGTGTGATGCCGGTATGGCGTTTAGTGGGGTGAGTATGCGGGTGGTGGTGTTTTTGTGGATAGTTGAGCTGGGGAGACTGGGGAGGAGGGCATTTGAGGCGGGAGGTGACAAATGCATGGACGAGTGTTTCAGCTGGTTTGGTTAAGGTATTTGGAGACGGGTAATGTGGCGGAGATGGAGGAAGGCGGTCTTGGTCAGGGACCAGATGTGCGGAAGGAAGGACAGCTGTGCGTTGAACCTGATGCTTAGATTGTACACTGGTTCGGTGAGTCTGAGGAACAGGCCAGGAAGGTTAAGGAGGCCAGAGCCGCAGGACAGAAGAAGCTGATGGGAGCCAAGGCATATGGCTTCCTTCTTGTCAATATTTAGCTGCAAAATGTTTGTGCTTATCCAGGTCCTGATGTGATGTCTACCAGAGCATCAGTGGACCTGGAGTTGCAGTTGGAGGAAGATTTGTGTGTCATCCACATAGTGTGGAAGTTCACCCCGTGTCTGCGGATTTTCCATGTCTTACTTCATATAAAACACATTTTCTCTGCTCGCCAAGAAGGAGCATGTAGATGAAGTAGAGGAGGGGGCCAAGGATGGAGCCCTGGGCTATGCCACAGGTGATTGGTGGGGGCGAGAGGAGAAACTGTTTGAAGAGACAAAGAGAACAAGGTTTGTTAATTAGGACTTGAACCAGGATAGTGCGGTCCCACTAAGGTGGATGAGGGAGGAGAGGCAGCGGATGAGGATGGTGTGGTTGACTGTGTCAAATGAGGCAGAGCAGTCCAAGAAGATGGCAAGGCAGAGGGAGCCCTGGTTACAGTGAGAGAGGATGTCAAAGAGGTATGTTATGAGGTGGGTCTTGAGCAAAGGGAGGGAGCAAGTTGGAGGACTCCAGGGTGTAGTTTTAGAGAACGCATGTAGAATATTGTATTTGACGTCAAGAGGACATCACAAAGTACTTCACAGGATCTTTTGTAAAGTGCCGTGGCTCTGTATTTTTAAGGCGAATGTGGCAACTAATTTGCACACAATACCCAACAAACAGCAATGATAATAAGAGTAATCCTTGCATTTGATGAAGTGAATGATCAGTTTTGGGAGGGATAGTTGGCCAGGACACTGGGAGGAACCGGATGTGGGGTAGGAAGTACAGCTGTGGGTAAAACCTGATGCGTAGGTTGTTTTTCTTTTTGAATAGTGCTACAGGATCTTTAACATCCACCTCTGTTTAATATCTCATCCGAAGGACAGTACCTCGAGCCATACAACATCTCCCTGGCGGTGCATCGGAGTGTCAGCCTGGACTATATGAGTTCAAAGTCCCCATGTAGAGCTTGAACCTAAAACCTTCTGACTTAAGAGGCAAGAGTGCTACTAACCGAGTCAGGCTGACATAAGAAAAACACTGCTGAATTTTTTTTGCAAACCTTGGTAAAATATGGGCTACTGTTATTATATATTTTGTGTAGCACAATTGTAATTGTATCTAATAACAAAAAATCGAAATGCAATGGTTAATTCAATCTGAACTGATGCATTTCTGTTTCTGGTCACCGTGTCTTTTTTTTCCAATTATATCATAACCAAAGGGTAAATGCAAGAAACAACCACGAGATGTCACTTTTGATTGGATATTTGGTTACTAAAAAGTGAAGTAGATTTCTTGTTCATTAAATCGATCGATCCTCGAAATGAAGTAAATGAAAACACTAAGTTTCGGATTTACTGAAAGACATCTGACCTTCTGTATTGCAACCGGTAATGTTTCAGCCCAAACATTAATCGTTGACTTTACATTAGTTCCCTTTATTTTAAAGATCCGTTGATGTGATGCGATGTATGAAAGTGACTTACAACTTTTATTGCATCTAAAACACACACAAAAACCTTCAAAACTTACCTTCTCTTAAAAATTGGAGCTTCCCCATTTCACCTAATAACCTAAGTGGCTCTTTTATTTTGAAGTGAATCTCAATGAGAGATCCCCCCCTTAAAATTCAGAGCGTTTGGGGCAGAAAACGTGTACGAACCCGGTTTGGTTATTACATCAGCGGCCAAAAGGGGTTACCTATTTGGACCGTATTATACAATACCCGGTTTGGATATGGAAAAGAGTGATTGGAAATAGCAAATATACAGCAGTTTCAAAGGTTTGTGTGAGTTGGGAATTTTACAAAAAACTTTACTGTTTGTCTTGGTGCAATCGCGGGGGTAATGTGAGCTCAGTTTAGAGCCAATCGGAATAACTGGGCGTCTTCAAAAGAAGAAGCAAAGGCAGAAACACATGGCTTTTTAGTGCATCCCCCCCCCCCCCACTCCCCCCCGCATCCCCCCCCCCCCCCCCCCGCACCCCCCACCCCGCACAGCCTATAAATACAGGTGCACAGTCACATCGCCTCTCTGTCCGCAGTGCCTTCATGTTAACCCCCAAATAATCCTTCACTCTGAGCTTCGTTTGGTTCAGTCGGATCGAGAGGCGCTGCAGAAACTTCACTGGAAGTTTCCGAAAAGTTTCGAGAACTTCTTCTTTTTTTTGTCGGGAGAGGAGGAGGAGGAGGAGGAGGAGGGGGTTGTGTGGTGGTGGGGTGTGTGTGTGTGTGTGTGTGTTTCCCATCATTAAAACCAGTCGATCGATCGAAGCTCCTGATGGACGCCATCGGTTCCAGTAGAGTCTTCGAACCGTACGTGCAAGTCATCCAAAATGCCAACATCAGTCAGTATTTCTGGGACAAGTCCCTCCTGCAGCCGCTGTGGGACTACTTGAGGTACAACCACGCAGATGCGCTGCGGTCTCCCCTCTTCCCGGTCCTCATCTCCGTCTCGACCTACTTCGTCTCGTGCACTCTGTACATGATCCTGGATCTGATGGCCCTCAGGTGCGCGGCCGTCACCCGCTACAAGATCCACCCGGACCAGCCCGTGACCTGGGACAACATCTTCAAGACCCTCTGGCAAACGGGCTACAACCACGTCCTGTTCGTCTTCCCGGCCACCGTGGCCCAGTGGTACTGGAGGCCGCCCCTCCCTCTGGTCGAGGAGGCGCCGCCGGTGTCCGAGTTCCTCATCGGCATCGTGAGCTGCACCATCCTCTTCGACTTCCAGTACTACATCTGGCACGTCCTGCACCACCGGGTCAGGTGGCTCTACACCACCTTCCACGCCATCCACCACGAGTTCTCCGCCCCTTTCTCGTGGTCCACGCAGTACCTGTCCGCCTGGGAGCTGATCAGCCTCGGCTTCTGGGCGAGCATCGACGCGGTGCTGCTGCAGTGCCACAGCCTGACCGGCTTCGCGTTCATGGTCGCCGTCATCTGGATCTCGGTGGACGACCACAGCGGCTACGACTTCCCCTGGGCCCTGCACAACGTGATTCCGTTCGGGCTGTGGGGCGGCACCGTCAAGCACGACGCCCACCACCAGAAGCCCCAGTACCACTTCGCCCCTTTCTTCGCGCACTGGGACTGGCTCTGCGGCACTCACTGCGACTACAAACGCTCGTCCGCCGTCACGCAAAGGCAGAGCAAGAAACGCAAAGAGAGCGAGACCTGAACCCCCGGGAACCCCGTGGGGGGAGAGGGGGGGAGAGGGGGAGAGAGAGAGAGCCGCGGTTGCGTTCCTCCGGTCCTGACCTGGAACCCGATCGCTCCTCTCGATGAGAAGGACCAGTCCTTTCCCCTGGAACCGACTCTCTCGGCTGCGAGGGATGTGACTGGTGATGGAGGTGTTTTTTTTTTTTTTTTCATCCCCCCCCCCCCCGATGTTCCTCTCGTCCCGATATTTATTTGGGCATCTTTTTTTTTTAAATAAAAAAATAAAAAATAAATTTAAAAAAAAAACCAAAACGAACTGAAGGGAATGCATTGAGAGAGTGTGTGTGAGAGAGAGAGTGAGAGTGAGAGTGAGTGCAGTGGATTGTGATGTCGGTTCATTCGTTGTGTGCGATGTCCCTCTTCAATGGAAATGTCAATAAGAATTTCGCATATGTTGTAATAATGCGTGGGATTTGCGGGATTAATCTTTTCTGAAAAGCACAGCGAAAGAAAGGGCTGAAGGGAATGCTCCTCTCCCCGCTGGATGTCTTTTCCGAGCAGGTGTGATGTATTATGTGTGTAAATATAGATTTATACCAAAAAAAAAACACACCAATGTATTTAAGGGAGTTGGTGGTGGCAGAAATGCATATCTGGGCAATGTACATATGTCTTTGAAAATATTTTATGTCTTGCAAACTCAAATAAAAAAATACGACTTAGCATTTGTTTCTGAGTCCTCTGTCAATGTTTCTGCCCGGAGATAGATGAAATTATAAATAATATGTTGTGCTATATATCTAAAAAAAAATGATGTATTGTATATAAAGGCAAATACAAGAGTCCTGTAGCTCAATGGTTAGAGCGTTCGCTTTGCAAGCGAGAGACCTGAGTTCAATTCCAGGCAGAGGGCGAAACCTTGGGCAAGTTTCCTTACTCCACACGCCTAATAATAATCCGTCCAAAACAAACAGTAATAAATGGATCATTTTCAATCCATGACTGTTTGTGGAACATTGCTGTGCGCAATTGGCTGCCGCGTTCGCCCACAAATATACAGTCAATTCACTTTACAGTATATTCTGTGAAGCGCTTTGGGACATCTAGAAGACGTGAAAAGCGCTGTATCAAATTCAAGGATTATTATTATTATAAATGCAATAACATTAAGAGTTTTTCTGAATAATTTTCAGGGTTAGAAATATCCTGGTAACTGGTGGCTGCCAATTGACTTCACAGTATACCCTGTGAAGCGCTTTGAGAGGACGCGACGATGTGATAAGAAGCTATATCAAGTGCAATTATTATTATTATTAGTAAACACAAAGCACACAATCACTCCATTTTACAGTGAATTCTGTGAACCATTTTGGGACTTCTTCTAGACATGAAAGGCACTATACGAAACCTTAGGCAAGTTTCCTTACTCCACAAGTCTTTATTTTAATGTTGAGATATTGGTCTCAAGACTGAAATCATGGTATTTTCAGACCTCAGGATCATGCTCCAAATTACGGTAATAATAATAAATAATTGTTGCATTTGATATAGCACCTTATCATGTCTTTGAGACGTCTCAAAGAGCCTCACAGATACTGTAAAATGAGTTGACTGTATATTTTGTGGGCAAAATGCGGCAGCCAATTGCACACAGCAGTGTCCGACAAACAATCGTGGATTAAGTGACCAAATTGATATTTTTTTTGAAGAGTTTATTACTCCCGGATAAGTGATCCACCAATCGACTAACAACCAAGTTCCTACTTACTGCTAGGTAAACGGAGACATGTGGAGTAAGGAAATTTGCCCAACGTTTCGCCCCGCCTGGAATCGAACCCAGGTATCGCTTGCGAGGCAAGTGCTCGAACCACTGAGCTACAGGACTCCACTGTACTACAGGCATCATGTCAAGTTGGGGCTGCAGTATAACTGGGACTTCATAGAGTACTTACAGTACAAAATAAGTATTCTATCCATCTGATTATGCAATTTACACTTGAACCATCACACAGCTTGGAGCATGACAGCATTCACCCATCTACAACAAGAACAAGATTACATTTGTATAGCGCCTTTCACGTCGGAAGGACGTCCCAAGGTGCTGGACATCGCTGAGCGGAGGGTGCAGGTGGGTTGGAAGGGGGTTAGGAGGTCACAGAGATAGGGTGGGGCAAGGCCTTATTAATATTCATAATATATATAAATATTCAGGATCTTGAACTGGATACTCTGAAGATTAGGGAGTCAATGGAGTCGGGTGAGAATGGGGGAGATGGAGTCATGGAGTTTGGTGCGGGAGAGGACATGGGCTGCAGAGTTCTGGATTATCTGCAGCCTGTGGAGGGAAGAGTTGGGAAGGCTGACAAGCAGGGCGTTTGCATAATCGAGCCTGGAGGTGATGAAATATGAACAAGAGTTTCAACGGCCTGAGGAGTGAGGTAGTGGCAGACTAGGGCGATGTTATGGAGGTGAGGGAAGGCAGAGCGGGTCATGGCTTAGATGTGGGGAAGAAAAGACAGTTGAGGGTCGAACAAGACACCTAGATTCCTGACTGGCTTATATAATATAATACAATATAATATAATACAATACAATACAATACAATACAATACAATACAATACAATACAATACAATACAATGCAATAGAAGTAATGTGAGACTGAGACTGCATCCAGGATGTAGACTCCTACTAGCTATTGCCTGGTTGAATTGTCGATTTGGTTATGAGACATACTCTCCTGATTCAAACTTAAACCTTGCATGTATTTATCTCCAGGCTAAAAGAGACCTTCGGATGAGAAGAAGGGTCTCCAGCTCACTTGGCCAATGAAACCTGCCCCACCATCTTCTTAGATCATGTCTGACCTGTAGCATTACAAAAGACAAATGGTTATTCAATCCACTGTTTGTTGGACTCTGCTGTGCCCAATTGACTGCTGCGATTCGCCCACTAAATATACAGTCAATTCACTTTACTGTATATTCTGTGAAGTGCTTTGAGACATCTCAACAACATGATAAGGCATTCCCTTAAGCTTTTTTTTACTGTTTTTTATGCCTGTGAACTGACTTTCCAGTGATTTGTGAACACTGAGATCCATTTGCTTATCCTCTCCATCTAATTAGTCTCCATTCAGTTTTCCAATTTGTCATTGTTATACAGCATAGATATATTTAAGGGAAAGCTAGATAGGTACATGAGGGAGAAAGGAATAGAAGGTTATGCTTGAAGGCTTACTTGAGGAAGCGCAGGAGGAGGCTCATGTGGTGGGTATAGACCAGTTGGCCTGAACGGCCTGTTTCTGTGCTGTATATTCTAATGTATTCTAATGTATAAGCAAAGTCTGCAACTTCAAAATTTTCATATTAAACACCACCAGCAATTATTTGTGAAACACTTTTTAAGGCTTTTCATTCTCATTTGGAATCTCTTTTCAAATATAAGGCTTATTACAAATAGCTTATGTTGCATCACAAAGTCTCTCTGAATAGAACAATGGACATTTCACATCCTAGTGAGAAGACGGTTGACTGTTGTGTAATGCTGTAGTGAAGAGGTTATTCTTTCCAAGTCCTGTAACTTGTAATGAATAACTGAGCTCAGTGGTTAGAGCATTTGCCTCACAAGCAAGAGACCTGGATTTGATTCCCGGCAGGGTGAAACCTTGGGCAAGTTTCCTTACTCCACACACCTGATAATGATCTCTCAGGAAAAAAACAATAAATTGGCCACTTCAATCTCAAAATGCTTCACAGAATATACTGGAAAGTGAATTGACTGCATATCTTGTAGGCGAAATGCAGCAGCCAATTACGCACAGTAGTGTCTCACAAACAGCCATGGATTAAGTGACTAAATTGATATTATTTTTCCCCCGGGAAAGTGATCCATTAATTGACACAACCAGGCTCCTACTTACTGCTAGGTAAACAGAGGGGTGTGGAGTAAAGAAACTTGCCTAAGGTTTCACCTCTCCCCGGAATCAAACCCGTTCCTCTCGCTTTTGAGGCAAGTGCTATACCAGAAAACTACAGGACTCCACAATCTATGTCTTCTATTCTCAATCTTTGTTAAAACTTTTCATTTTAAATTTGACACACTAAGATTTTGAACTCAGAAGTGGCAGTCCGAAGAAAAAAGAGCAGTGACTAAGCAAAATATTTAAATATGCCCATATTTAATTAAAAATTCTTAATACTGTTTAAAGTTAATAGTTTGGTAGAAGGAGTAGGCATATTTTAAGTGGAATGAATAGCCATTGAGTGAACATTTACTAAACTAGAAAATAATTGTTACCTGCTGCATACAGCGGATTTAAAATAGAATGGAAAATGCCAAGTATTATTTACAACAAATTGCATTTATATAGTAGCAGTCATGTCAGGAGGACATCTCATGACGCTGGACAGACAATGGTTTGTGTTGAAGTTTGGATTTGAGAGGGATGAGGGCCAAGTGGGGAGGTACGGTGGAGGGGGAAAATGACTGAAGCCATGGCCAATGAGGAAGGACTTGAGACAAACTTTGAAGGAGGCAAAGGAAGGGGCTTTGGGTAGAGTTGCAGAGAGTAGGAGCAGAAAGGTTGACGGCCCGACCACCAATGGTGGGGTGGCATGAATGGGACATAAAGTAGGTCAATGCCTGCCAAGTGGAAGAAGTAGATAGCTCGGTAGAATATTAGAAGTTCATAGAGGTAGGGTGCGGGAATTCCATGGAAACATTTGAAAATGTGGAGTCCTGTAGCTCAGTGGTTAGAGCACTCGCTTTGCAAGCGAGAGACCTGAGTTCAATTTCAGGCAGGGCGAAACCTTGGGCAAGTTTCCTTACTCCACACAGAGCCTAATAATAATCCCTCCAAAAAAACCAAAACAATAATAAATTGGTCATTTTCAATCTACGACTGTTTGTGGGACATTGCTGTGCGCAATTGGCTGCCGCGTTCGCCCACAAATACACAGTCAATTCACTTTACAGTGTGTTCTGTGAAGCGCTTTGGGACGTCCTCCCGACGTGAAAAGCGCTATATCAAATGCAAGGATTATTATTATTATTGTAAAATGAGAATGATGGTCTTAAACTCAATCCTCTGGGGGAAGGGGAATCAGTGGGGATGGTAAGTTCAGAGCTTCAGAACCCTGCAGTTTATAGAGGGAAGAATTGGGAATTCCAGAGGGCAGAGTGTTAATGCAGTCAAGCCTGAAGCTGATAAATGC